CTAATACGGTGACGCACAACAGGTATGATAATGCGAATCGAGCCGGGGCCGCGCCGTTTATACTACGGGAGGGGATTAAAGTAATGCATCGATGCACCGGTTCGCCGCATTGAGCCAGATGAAGAGATTTAACCCCTCCTCCCCTCCCCCCCAACCCCATCATCCCTCGCGCAAATTACATACGCATTAGCGGCGGTGCTCGCGCGGCGCGCGAGATTTCCGCTACGCGGAGAGTCAGCACCACCAGTGCGTGCGAGACGCACGTCGCGATCTTGCAGATATCGAAGTTTCGACGGTATATAGGGGCGCGATGTTAACATTTCGGGACGAGTCGTCCGATCGTTTATGTCGGGAGTTGAAATTAATACGTTCCCTCCAATTTGCGTGTGTAAAACACTGTTCCAAATTTGGGTCGCAACAAAATGCGCGGGGGAGAAAAAAAAGCGTGCGAGAATTATTTTTGTGAGAAAACTGTGACTGCGTTGCGACGTTAGTATTTCGTTCGTGACGCGGAGATATGAAAGTATTTCGGAACGGACAGAAATAACGGAAATAATTTCGGCAAACACTCGATATCGTAATCCAATTTTTGTCGAAGTTACTCTCGCGAAATGAGGATATACTATAAATAGGGAATTAACCCCGCAAGACTCGCGTAATGTAATGATGACGGTTGAGCGAACATTCCTTTGAAGGAGTTCTGTGTCCGTTTATGGCGCAGTCATTTAATGGATTCCAAATAGGGACGCTTCGCCTATTGCGTGTATCTCGCGCAAAGCGCATGGCTGCAATTAACCACGCTGATTAGGCAATGCGCTTTGAAGCGACATGCAAACGATGAAAGGTTCATGCACATTCCATATATCCCCCTGATTTTATACCCAAAGGATTCAAATTTCTCGAAACGCAATCGAAATAACGAGGGAGGAACGCGCTGATACAACGTGATAGTGTAATTAGCGAAATTAATTTCACTTATTATCAGAGCGGACCGAAATATCGCTTCAAAAAAACTGAAGAGAAAATTAAGAATGTCCTCTTCATCCGTACAATGCGCGTAAAAGTATACACGGAAGTATACACAAAAAAAATATTTTGTTGAAAGGTCTAAAAATTTTGCTAAATACAGACCTGAAAATAATTTTTGTTCAATAATCAAAATAAATTGTTGGAAAGTTAAAAATGATAGGCATTCATTGCTATAAAACGGTTGGATGTTCTAGCAATCATTTTGACTTTCGAACAAAATAATTTTGATTATTGAACAAAAATTATTTTCTGATCCAGCAAAATTGTTCTTCTGAAATTTCTTTCCGCGTATGTATATTTTTTTTCTATACCAATCTTGAGATTGTTAACGTATAACAAATCGAAATTTTACACTCCAGGCATTTTGTTAATAAACGCAGCCCAACACGGGCGCTTTTAAGCAAGATTAGCGGTAATGATCATCGACGTAATGAGGTAACTTTTGACTAAAACGATGTTTTAGCGATTTACAACGAGGGGAGCTCAGCGGAGTATGATAGAATCGGGGAGTGCAGAGGGTTGGTTAGACCCCTGGCGCAGGGGCGCGGGGGGGGCTAAAACGAGCCGTGGGAGAATTCAAAATCGAAGCGCGCCATCAAATACGCGTTCGAGGGGGGAGGGGGGATTTACAAGTTATTCAAATATTCCCCGCTCGGTAAGCTATGATGAATACTCGGTGTTCCAATTTAATCCCCTTCGAATCCCGTCCACCCTCAAATCACATCCTTGCCGCGCTCCCCCTGTGATTTCAGACGATTCGCCATTAATTCGTATCGAAAAAAATTTTGCGCGAGTTCGAGGAATCGCCGGCATGAAAAACACCTCCCCTCCTCGCCCCACTTCACTTTCCCTGAAATAACTGACGGTAAAGCGGATTTCGGTGCACCGCCAGTAAATTCGAACGAATTCATTGATCGGGGCCTGGCACGAGCACAAACGTTAAGCGTCATTAAAAAAAAAAAGAAAGATAAAATTATATAATCCCGTATTATTCAAATTAAATGTAATCGTCTATCAGCGAAATTAATGAAATATTCTGCGAATTTCGCCTGACGTTTACTAGATGCGTGTGTTTAAATTAAATAAACAGTCCTTTTTTTTTCTCTACATATATAAACCCCTCCGCTTTTTTGATATCGGGGTTTTTCTGTGACGGCGAAATATTAAAAGTGAATTTTGTCGTGTTTAAATATATTCGTTATTTCGAGGGATATAGTTATTAATTTATTTCCCGAAGTATCAAAAACGCGTGAATCTCTGAATTTTCGATGCATTTTCAAACGCGAGAAAGGAATACACGAAGTTTCGGTATGCCGACTATCTACATTGTTCGAAATCTGGCACAGCGTATACACAATATAAAGCTGTTGGCCCATTTTTGCAATCCGTGCTTATATTGCTGAGAGTAATCATTGCAACTGGAAGTTGTGGGATTTTGCAGAGAGACATTGTGGCGATGCGTTGGACGTGCGTTGTTCATTTTTATATAAAATTCTATTTTTGCACGACAGACGTAGCGCAGAACAGTGGTGCAGAGCGCTATATAGAAAATAATTTATGGGGGGAAAAAAGTGTGTATAATCAAACTTTTTCTCACGCAAATTCATCTTTAAATTCACTTTAAATTCAAAAATTAAGCACGGTAAAACATGAATATGAGTATAATATAAAAAATATCAATATAAAAAATATGTATGTCAACAATAAATAAAACATTTAACGTCAGATTACATAATATTATATAATCTAACGTTAAGTATTTTATATATTATTTATACATACACATATTTCTCATTAGATTATATAATATCAAATAATCTATATCGTTAGAATTTTAGAAAATTATTGTGTATTATTTCTTAGGAATATATATGATATTTTTGTTCGATTAAGTTTATCAATGATCAACAATATAAATTGTCATTAATATTCGTCTAGATAATCTATACTTTCCGTAATAAAATTAGATATGCAGATAAGAGATACGGAGCAGCCGAGTGTACCTGAGGAAGCACTTCCTGCGATTGCATCGTATGCGGGCGTAAAGTCGCGATGCGTCGAGAGATGGACAAGCGTCATTACTTTGAATGCGTCGTCGTGTCGTGCCGGCGACGCACGTCGCGAGACCCGCAGTGCTTTATGAAGCGACGTTGAACCTTCTGGCGAGTATTGTCGCACGTGCGGGCGGACAGCGGGGGAATTAATGTCGCCGAAAGCGAATTGATATTTTGATCACGCAGAAGCGGAACGACGCTCGCGCGCGCTCGCGGTAAACGTATAATTTCGTTTGTGCGTAATTGAGCGCGTACCCGCCGGGATCGAGAGCGAGAGATCGCCGGACGGTTAGTATCGTTCGTAAAATTCGATCGCGCCGCTGCGATAGTTACGCGGCGAAATTGCTCCGAATTTGCCATTCCGACGGCCTTCGATCCAAGCATAACGCGCGCGGTGAAGGGGTATAGCATTAAAATTTATACAAACCAAATCGCAGCTGCTGAAACGCGAAAGATAATTTATCTCCTCGTTAATGAGAAATTTCCCTTTGCACGCGGGAGATGCAAGCTTTCGACACAATTTACATGTTTAAATATTTATATTTCAAAAATGAAGCATCACGTTAATGTATAAATAATCTTAACCCTCTATCCGGAACACCTCTGGATACCCGGTTACATGGAACACGCCGTCATAATAACCGCTATTCCAGAAAAACACAAGTTTTATTCATTTTTTGAGGGGCTATCACACTTTTCAACCAATTTTTGGTCATTTGGAATGGGATAACTCAGAACACAATTTGAGTAAAAACCTTAGCAGTCATAATTAATGACCGATATTCCAGGCAGAGGGGTAAAATTGTTAAAAACACGACGAGACTTCGCGAATCAAGGGAAAACCGAAACGGCCGGGAGAAAAAGATCGCTCGACAATCCCTTTACAATCGACGTAAGAGAGACCCGTAAGTGCATTTAAGCGCGGCATCTACAGCGGATAACACGAGAGCAGCGGGGCACAAGCTCTCTTGGCCGATGGGAAACGTTGCTCGATAAACCGAGATTGGAACTCGATAAACCGGCTCTCGTCGTACGAAATAATAGCCTTGCGATGCGTGTAGCGTCACGAACGAGCGTCGATAGAAAGGCCGAGCTGCCGGGTGGGCAGCGGGAGCTGACGAGGATGACGATGGTACATCGAGGGGTTGCGCGCTTCCATGAGGTCGAGAGCACGGTCGCCTTTGTCGCGTCCGCGGAGCGGAGCGGAGTGGCGCGCGGCGCGGGTAATAATGGATAATAATGCTTAAACGGACGATCGCCAATTCGACTCGAATCTACTCGAATCGACTCGACTTGACCACGTATATCGGCGATTCAATTGTCTCCGCTATTGCACGGCCATCCATGCGCGTCGCGGCCGTCGAAACGCGTCATTCATGCGGCACAAACTCCCCCCCCCCTCCTCTCTCTCCCTCTTTCCTCCCCTCTCTCGAATACGCTGCAACACTCTCATCTCCCGGCAAGAGTACAATGTCGCAGAGCACGTGTAAACGGCGTCGTTATACGGAACGATGGCGCCGCCTCGCAACGCTGAAAGATTCCGCCGATCGAGCGGCCCGAATAAATGGGATATTCTTCCGCGCAATTTTTCTTCTCTCATGCGTCGATATTAATTGAGAAATTTTCTGCACAGTGGACTAACCCGCTTTTTGTATATATATAAAAAAAAGGGAGTATATAAAAAAATGAACTTGTATGTAAAAAAAATGAACTCTAAAATATAAGCGATGACTTTCATTTTCTCCGTTTTTTACGTACAAAATATGGGTCAGCCGCTTCAATTTTTCACTATTATCTTATACTTTTAGCTTGCGCTGCTATTAGCACGAAGTAGCGATTTACAACGATCTCGTCTTCTCGATTTGAAGTAGATTATAGTATAGTCGCATAAGCGATCTGAAATTAATTCGAACTTACCTGATTCTTGCCCTTGAGAACAAGTACATTGGTGACACGGCCGAACGGCAGACCCAGATGGATGATCTCTGCCTCTGTCACCTCGTTAGGTATGTTCCTGATATGAATGACTCTGGAAGGTTTGCCGCTGTGACTCTTGTCGAGCTTAACCTGAAACAAAAAGGATGGATCCCCGGTGAGTCGTCGGATAAAATGAGCTGAGAACTTAATGTCTGTCTCGCCATAAATATATAGCCCGGAAAGGGGAAAAAAAAGATATAAATGGTCTCATAAATAAGAAAAGATGTTAGGATCATGTAATACCTAAGAAAATAATCTTGCTGTCCCCTCCTGAGCCTATTACTGCGTATAACAACGGTTTAGTAATTGTACAAACGTAGTTAACATTTAACACTCCCCATATATTTATATATTCTATGATAATTTCCCTAGTTTCTTTCGTATACACCGTAAATAATAATAATCTTGTATATACCTTCCTACAACCTAAGTGTGTCATTACGGATTAAATACTTTATCTCCTTTAAGTATTATATTTATTACGGATTTTAACGGTTAATAAATTTCTAAATATATTTCTTTTATCTTCAAGACAGGGTTGGCCAACGATTAGTAAAAATCGTTAGTTAAACACAGAGACGAAAATTAAAGTTGTCGCTCTAAGGCTCGGTTCCACAAATATAAAATTAACTTTAAACTCGGTTTAACTTGTTGTTTATCTCTTTCTGATTCTTAGATTAGAAAAAGATAAAGCGAGTTGAACTTCGGTTAAATCGAGTTAATCGTGCATTGTAAAACTGGGCCTAAAGCGGCATCTTCTCACGTGAGATGAATAATCGACTATAATTGGTCAATTTTAAATTTTGAGTCTTAAATCTCATTGCAGACGCCGATTAACGAAACAGTTAAGGTGTAAAGACAAAGTCTATTTGTAATCTATATATATACGAATGATTACAATACACCTGCACGGAAAGAGCGATTTTATAACGATAACGGAGCTGTTGAGCCAAGCTAGGTGTAACGTGCTAATAATCTTATTTTGAACTGTGGTGGTAAACAATCTTTAATATTATATAAATACTTAAAGTACAACTTTTATAAATTGCGAGCGAATGCGTTTACATGTATATAAGGTTAGTTATTTAATTCGTTATATTCCTACTGAGAATGACCGATATGTAAAAGGGTCTGGGATAATTTATATTGTACTTCAAGTATTTATATATACACGGAAAGAACAATTTTACTGAATCCAGATCTGAAAATAATTTTTGTTCAAAAATCAAAATTATTTTTAGCAAAATGATTGCTAGAATATCAAAACGTTTTATAGCAACACTTATCAGTTTTAACATTCCAACAAAATTATTTTAATGATTCAATAAAAAATTATTTTCAGATCTGTTTTTAGCAAAATTTTTAGGTCTTTCAACAAAATCGTTCTTTCCGTGTAATATTAAAGATTGTTTATCACCACAGTTCAAAATAAGATTATTAGCACGTTATCTAGTTTGGATCAACAGTTCCATTATCGTTATAATTTGATATGAGCCTTTCATAATTTGTCTAATTTAAATTTGAGAACGATTTTGTTAAAAGATCTAAAAATTGTGGTAAAAACAGATCTGTAAATAACTTTCTGTTGAATCATCAGAATAATTTGTTGGAATGCTAAAACTGACAAGTATCGCTATAAAAGTTTTGATATTCTAGCAATCATTTTGACTTTTGCACAAAATTATTTTGATTATTAAACAAAAATTATTTTCAGATTTGCATAGATCGATTTCTTCGGATTTAATAAATTTTATTGTATTTAAACAAATTTGTTATTTGGAATGGTCCAAACAAACCAATGTTTGAGTCAATAAGTACGATTATTTGAATTTGAAATTTGACCATGCATATCTTTGTCTTAAATAAATTGCATAGAACAATCAAATATATCAAGTATATCAAAATATTTAACTACTTTCATATAAATAAATTATTTGTTTCATTGTCCGTATTTATTATAATCAAATAATACATGATTTGGTTGAAAGGTAGTACATCAAATAATAGTGTTACTTCCGTCAAATAATAGAAGTTTTTTGAACGAAACAACCAAAATTTTTATTCAAATAAATAATGTTTGGTATAAGCATATTGTGTCAATGAAACAAATATCAGTCAAATAAATAGGAATTCTAAATCTAAAGAAACCTTTTTTTTCTGTGTGTGGATTCAGCAAAATTATTCTTTCCGTGTGTACTTGACACTAAAGAGATAATGTCAATTTTCCACTCTATAAAATCGCTGGGTAGACGAAGCGAGATTGCATTCTTATAACGCGAGGCGAGAAGGATCGGACTCGCGCCCCGGTTCCAGTAGAAAAAGACGGATGCGGTCAGCCGGTCCGGCGAAAGTTTCGTTCCCAGGGTTTCGTTCTTGCGCGCGAGGTAGACGGGAACTTATCGAATTCCCGCGAGTTCGCAATCCCGGCCGCTTATATTATTCCATATGCGGCGACGGGAAGTCGAAGAACGCGGAAGATATACACGTATACGTACTACCCTCGTTCTGCGTACATCTGTGTGTGTACACTTAAGTCGAAGCTCGTGCCGCCGGGGGCGGTGTTTTCAATCACGACTCTATCTAGTCGAACTCGAGAACACGACGCTCCTTCCCCTCCTTCCTTCTGAAAGAATCCACCGAAATCCATCCTCCTCTCTCGGTCGCGCCGCTGGTTTTTCTCGTCTCTTTTTTTTCCACCCTCTTTTCCTACAGCCCGAGGCCCGAGTTTTCTCCGAGGCTCTCTTAAGAACGTCGCTGAGGTTTAGTCGGGCTTAACTGATCGGAAAACGCGCCTCTTACCGGGTTAAGGAAGATGGATATTTCGGAGGCGCCCCATCCTTTAATCCTCCCATCCCCCCTCCCCCCTCTATCGCGCTATCCGGAATGGAGCTCGAACGAGCGGCGGTTATTTTTATTTGAGCCTGTCAATCGATACAAAGTGGGGGGAGAACAAGAGGTGGATAATTAAAAATAATTCGTGGATTATGAGTTATTAGCGGATAATTGATTTAATTAATCAGTTGGTCAATTAATCGCGGCGAACGGGTTTATATGCGTATAAAGCGCAGTGGAAATATAAATACCCTATAGCAACGAAATGGAATACATAATAAATGGAAATTTTTAAGTTATAACGCGTTCATCTGGTAAACCGAATCAATTTTGTAAATGGAACTGCATATAACTGCATTATATTATATACTGCGGATAAAAAATGCAATGGACAGAGCATTATCTAGAAACATTAGCATTATTTAGAGCGTTATCTAGATCGATGGATTTTCCGACAAAACATATACGTACATTTTATCTATAGAAAATCATTTATGAATTTTCGACTTTTGTAGAGCGAATTTGCCTGAATACTTAATAGGAGAATCCAGTGAGAGTTAAACGGTTTATCTTCTCTCTCATAAACACCGGGGTTGGCCGGCATTAACTCAAGTCTAAGAGGGAAGTCCGGCTAGTTGTGTTTTGCCCGGCAGTATACTCGACTGCTCCCGCGAATGAATTAAAAATCAACCCTCACCGACGTCCCTTTATACGTTGTCCTCTTTGCGGCCACGCCGCGCCGCGTTTTAATCTCGCTTGTACGTACTGCCGCGACGACGACGATGACGACGGCAGCGACACAACAATGAAATCGGATTATAAGCGAGTTGGCGTGCCGTATCGCGGCGGTATGCCGACGTCGTAATAAGACGGCTTCTATGACAAGAGAGAGAGTGGCCGACGATAGCTCGTTATGTTTCTAGCTCAACAGGTCGAAGTCGCGATGGAACGGCCGTGATTCAATCTTTTCGGCGCTGCGAATCTTTGAGAATACGAAAAAGATGCGGAAGACATGCAGAAAGAATGTCCGAGGATAACAATAAAGAATACACGAGAATATAAAAAGAGATGAAAAGGAGATAAAGGAGATAAAATCACCATTGACGTTACTTTTCGAATTATTAATTGTTAGAATTGTTTTCAGGGTCTTGTGAATTGTATGTACAACTTTATGTACACCTAAAAAATACTTGTACTTCAGGAATAAATAAAAAAAATCAATCACGGAAATTGGATCTATTGATTAGAAGCTCTGTGTTATAGCGCGCGAGAGAACAACTCCATCTTGTGCAGCTCTTGACTACACGAACCAATAACTCCCTGATTTTCTCGATCGATTCTTCCTCGAAGGTTCCTCCCATTAAACGGAGGAAACAAAAGAGGATAGCGGAGCAACCAGCAGAAGAGCCCTAAATGCTCCTTTGTTTCCTACGTCATAATCACAGTTGTAACACAGATGATTAACAGCGAACGTGTACATACATAGTAGAACGAATGTGCAGCGAGTCGAAGTAAACCGCACGACGGAGAGAAGTTGACCTTAAATACGAAAATGTCTGAAGGAGATGCGACGGTGACGCGCGCGAAAAATTCCGTGAGCGGAAAGGCCGGGAAACGTGAGAGTGGATGTCGAATCCAGAAGAAGGGTTTTAATTGCTCGGGTATTCCTTCGACGTACGTGGAAACCACCGCCGTGGAGAAACGCGGCTCCGGTGGTCGCGCAAACAACGTTCGCGCTTCAAGTGACGTTCATTCACCGTCGAGAATGGCCTCGAGAATCACTATCACCATCAACCCCCCACCCCCGCCTCGAGTCTGAATGACGTGTTTCCCTCCAGGTTCTCCACTTTGATTGTACACAGGGTGAGGCGCCAGCACCTCGTCCTTCTTCGACCTCCTTCACTCACTCACTCACTCGACTACGTTCAAAAGTATCTCGAGTGTAGTAAAAAAAAAAAAAAGAAAAGCAGACGCGAAGTCTTCGAATGAACTACGCGGAAGAAAGACGTATGAATCACGCACATGTCTGGCGTAATCGTAATCATGGCGGAAAGGATCTCGTTAGCCCACCAGTCTAGCACGGAAAGAACGATTTTGTTGAAAGATCTAAAAATTTTGCTAAAAACAGATCTGAAAATAATTTTTTGAAATGTTAAAACTGATAAGCATTGCTATAAAATGTTTTGATATTCTAGCAATCACTTTGACTTTCGCACAAAATTATTTTGATTATTGAACAAAAATTATTTTCAGAAAAA